CATGTGACTCAGTGGAACTTTGTGGCGCTGGTGTTGGTCATGTGACTCAGTGGAACTTTGTGGCGCTGGTGTTGGTCATGTGACTCAGTGGAACTTTGTGGCGCTGGTGTTGGTCATGTGACTCAGTGGAACTTTGTGGTGCTGGTGTTGGTCATGTGACTCAGTGGAACTTTGTGGTGCTGGTGTTGGTCATGTGACTCAGTGGAACTTTGTGGCGCTGGTGTTGGTCATGTGACTCAGTGGAACTTTGTGGCGCTGGTGTTGGTCATGTGACTCAGTGGAACTTTGTGGTGAACATCAAAAATGGTATACAATACCGACAGGTTGTTAGGTAAGACACATATGCAACAGTTAGACAACTTTATTCGGAAACGTTTCGCCTACACAGTAGGCTTCTTCAGTCGAATACAGAAAGTAGGCAGGAACAGTAGAGATGTGAAGACGATGTAATCAGTCCATCACCCTTAAAGTCGTAGAATTTGAGGGACTGACAACCTCAAATTCTACGACTTTAAGGGTGATGGACTGATTACATCGTCTTCACATCTCTACTGTTCCTGCCTACTTTCTGTATTCGACTGAAGAAGCCTACTGTGTAGGCGAAACGTTTCCGAATAAAGTTGTCTAACTGTTGCATATGTGACTCAGTGGAGTTTAGGTTGGTTGATTAATCTGGCTTCAAGGTATCGACTACACGAAGGTTATAACAGCTATATATTTCATTTCCAAAAAAAAAAAAAAAAAAAAAACACCAGTGTATAGAAGAAGAAAAAAGAAGTAAAACCAGCCACAAATTTTAAAATAAAATCTTACAAAAACAAAACATTTTAAAATCTTACAAAAACAAAAAATTTTTTTGGAGGAATCAGATATGCGCTTTGTAGTTGATAATGCACATACTTCTTAGTATATATTTTAAAATGTTTTCTTCGAAATGTGATGTTATCACATTGTGCTTCCCGTTGTTATCAAAAAATCTTTCCTATCTACATATTTCCTCTTCCGGTTTTCCAGTGAAGTTATACCACGTATATGAGAATGAAACTTATGACGACGTTTCGGTATGACTTGGATCATTAACTAGTCATACATAAGAATATAAGAAAGAAGGAACACTGCAGCAGGCCTGCTGGCCCATGCGAGGCAGGTCCAAGTCTCCTACCGGCTTACGCCAATGCCCCAACCTAGTCAGGTCAAGTAACATTCACTTAAGGAAGGAACACTGCAACTGACCTAGCAGCACAAGCTAATCAGGTCCAACTTACACCCATTCATGTATTTATCTAACCTATTTTTTAAACTACACAACGTTTTAGCCTCTGTAACTATACTCGGGAGTTTGTTCCACTCATCCACAACTCTATTACCAAACCAGTATTTCGTATATCCTTCCTGAATCTGAATTTTTCCAGTTTAAAACCATTTCTGCGAGTCCTGTCTAGGCTAGATATTTTCAGCACGCTATTTACATCCCCTTTATTTATTCCTGTCTTCCATTTATACACCTCAGCAATATCCCCCCTAATTCTACTTCTTTCTAGAGAGTGCAGATTCAGGGCCCTCAGCCTGTCCTCATAGGGAAGATTTCTGATGGTATAAACCTTGGTAATGAATACCGACAAGTTGGTTTAGAAAGACACGTAAGCAAACCAAGATTTCTGATACATGGGATCAACTTTGTCATCCTCCTCTGTACGGTTTCCAGAGCATTTATATCCATTCTGTAATACGGTGACTAAAACTGTGCAGCATAATCTAGATGAGGCCTAACCAAGGATATATAGAGTTGAAGAACAACTTGAGGACTCCTATTATTTATGCTTCTTGATATGAAGCCAAGGATTCTGTTAGCTTTATTGCGAACACTTATTCACTGTTGTCTTGGTTTCAGATTACTGCTAACCAGAACTCCCAAATCCTTTTCGCAATCAGTAGTATTAAGATCTCCATTATTTAGTTTATATGTGGCATGGTTATTTTCCTGTCCAATGTTTAGAACTTTGCATTTGTCTATATTAAACTGCATCTGCCACTTCTCCAACCACTGCATCAGTCTATTCAAAGCTTCCTGGAGTGCTCTAATGTACTCGTCAGAATGAATTCGACGGCCTATTTTGGTGTCATCGGCAAACTTGCTTATATCACTCTTTATGCCCTCATCAGTGTCGTTTATGTAGATTGTGAACAACAGGGGGCCCAACACTGACCCCTGTGGAACACCGCTCGTGACGCTTCCCCAGCCTGATTTCTCCCCATTTATGCAAACTTTCTGCGGGAAGTTAAGGTGGGAGGGCACAGGAGCAATAGAACGAGAGGACGATGCTTCCGAAGTCTACTTCGTTTCCTGCTGTTGTCCTCTCCAATACTTTGGAGAAATTGGCCACTCTCTTTCTGACAGACTTAAAGAGCACAGAAGTGTTAGACTTGCCGACACTAACAATACTCTTTTCTGTCATATTAGAGATCACAGTCATCCTATTGACTGCTCCTCTACCAAAAATGTCTGCCATTCTTCTGACTTTCACAGACGTCATATTGAATAATCCCTTATACACAGCTTTGCTAATACAAGTACTACTGTTATTGCTTCACTAGCACTCCACTCTCTGATTCGTATGTCACTATCACTATTCCCTTTTTTCTGCCGCCTCTGCTACTGTTGCACTACTTATACTATTACTACAATTACTACTAGTACTATTATTACCACTACCTCTACCACTACTGCAATTATACTACTACTTCCTCTTCTACTGCTCCCGGGTGCGACCTCTCTGTATATATACTCTCTCCCTATCGTGCTTATCCCAACCTCCCCAGACCTTCAGAGAACCTCTCGAGTCACTCAGGCTGCTGTCCGAGTGCCAGGAATCGCTGAAATGGAGCGAGCTTCTGAGAGTCGAGAGCCTCATACCAGCGAGAACACCGGCTCTGAGATACCAGAGATTTAACCCTGAATCTTCCTGCGCCAGCATTTCCGCTTCTCCCTACGAGCTCTGTATGAGTAGGGAATGCAGCAGACGAGTCTGTTGAGTTGGAGATAACTCGCACCATCGTACACACCGGACCCAAGACACCACTTACACCGAAGACGTGCTGTGCCCCAGTTACAGGTCGTCTACGACGGTTGTAGCTAACTGTTACAGCACACCACCTGTGCTGAAGAGAACTCACCGAATCCTTGTCACAGGTCTGCCCCCGCCATAGCCAGTGACGGGTCACCATCTGGAAAAGACCCATGTCAGGACTTCATTCCTGGCGAATATATGACCACTGCCATCCTTTCTTGCTTGTGTGTGACTAGTTAATGGTCCAAGTCGGACCGAAACGTCGTTTATTTGCGTGTTGCTCCAGTTACGGTACTGTACCTTTTTATTCCATACTATAGATGATTGTTTTGATAGATTTAAAATTCTTCGACTGTCCCTGTACCCTACCAATCAAAAATAGTGTATATTCATAGATAAGCGCTAAACCCGTAGGGGTCATAGAACTCGGTAAATAAACTCACAAGACAAAGCGTCTGCTTGTATGTTTTTATTTAGGTTTTTGGTGCACACAAAATTTTCACGGTAGTCACTACGGCACACACACGCCATGGGCACGTAGTTAATTTAACATCTTTATTATGCAACCGATACCCATCCTGTGGGTGGTAGTCAAAGGATTACAGAGGTACATAATGGGTCCAGGGATTGGACCGCAGAGTTTATATCCTGTCACGATCATGAGTTATTTATGCAGACATTAATTTAGTCACATACAAAGTGGTAATGCTTTATTTGCAGTGAGCAAAGTCAGGGTATTTTTCCAGAATGGATACAATACTTAAACATTTCTTGAACATTTCCGAGTGGCTTGTTTCTGAATTCGTTAATTTTATCGCCTTCTAGCACATAATGACGCAAGTTGTGGCAGTTGCCCATCAGGAAAACTTTACATAGGCATTTATAGTGTACATTACGTTAATTCAACCTAAAATAACCCAGTAAAATCACCGCGACTTATTTCTATGGGAATACCTATTAATTTACATAGGTGTGTATATAAACACACAGATATATTCTTAAAATTAACAATGAAAAGCAGTTCTAACAGGGACAAATGATGTTTACACCAAAAGGTATGTCAAGGTATATATATAATATAATATATATATATATATATATATATATATATATATATATATATATATATATATATATATGTCGTGCCGAATATGTAAAACTGGTCAATTAGCAAGAACTCATTTAAAATTAAGTTCTTTCTGAAATTTTCTCTTATACGTTTAAAGATATGTTTTTTCATTAATGTTAATGTAAAAATTTTTAATTTTGCATCAAAAGAATCTTAGAAAACTTACCTAACCTTATTATAACAAGAACAATTTATTTTAGCCTAACCCACCTAAATATATTCTAGATTTCTTTACAGTAATTTAATACTAAACAAACACAGTGAAATATATTTTTTTCGTTAGGTTCAGAATGATTTTGGCGAAATTATTGCATAAACAAATTTTCACTTGTCCCATATGGCAAGATGAGCGTTGCTATTTAAACCAAGATCGCAAGTTCTGCCTATTCGGCAAGACATATATATATATATAAATATATATAATATATAATATATATATATATATATATATATATATATATATATATATATAATATATAGTATATATATATATATATACACTGTGTGTGTGTGTGTGTGTGTGTGTGTGTACTCACCTAGTTGTAGTTCCAGGGGTCGAGTCACAGCTCCTGCATTTATTTTAGGGATTAAAGTATTCTTGGTTATTGGTGAAAAGGTTACGTTCAGCCATAATGACCATAGTGTAGTCGATAGGCTTTAAACCCCATTAACCAATTCATGAGTATATCAAGACTATATTGCAACCGTAATAACAATACAATATGCACTGAGAGAGATAATGATCGTTTGCCTTGCTGTGTTGTTTCCTAAGACCACTGTAGTTGTTCTGGTGTTGAGTGAGG